TATATATATATATATATATATACTTTTCTCTGTTTTATTTTGCCTTTCATATTTATATTTTAACTAAAAAGTAAATAAAAATAAATAATTTTTAATTTGGTTTGCTGCATCTTTTGTGCTGCTGCTGCTGTTGCTGCTGTTGTTGCTGCTGCTGTTGTTGTTGTTGTTGCTGCTGCTGCTGCTGCTGCAGGTTGCATGCAAGGATCCTCAGCTTATCCGTGCTGCTGCATTGCTGCTGCCAGTGCTGCTGCGGTCGGTCTCTTTGCTGAAGCCTCCCTGCAGCAATAGGCGAGCTGCTGCTGCTGCTGCTGCTGCTGCGGATTCTGCTGCTGTTGCAGCAACAGCAGCAGCAACAACAATGCGGCCTCCGCAGCTGCAGCAGGATGCAGAGGCACTCTTACAAACTGCGGTTTTAGAAGCAGCAGCAGCAGCAGCACCTGGTGCTGCTGCTGCTGCTGCTGCTGCTGCTGCTAGCAGGCGCATGCGTCTATGGCTGCTGCGGCAGCAGGTGTGGGGTCTAGCAGCAGACTGCATAAAGACAGTGGAGATGCAGCAGGAGACAAACCACCTGCGCCCGCTGCTGCTGCACTCATTGCTTACTGAGATTATTTTATCGCAGCGTATTATTGCTGCTAGACAAGCAGCAGCAGCAGCAGCAGCAATGCCTGTTGCTGCTGCTGCTGCTGCTGCTGAGACAGCCCAGAAAGCCGCAGGCAGGAGGAAGCGCAGCCGTTATTCCCATGCAGCAGCTGCAGCAGGACCTGCAGCAGCAGCAGCAATAGCAAGAGACACTGCTGCTGCTACAGCATATCAAATGCAGCAGCAGCAGCAGCAGCACCTAGCTGAAGAAGGAGCTTATCCAGCTGCTGTCTTGCGAGTGGCTGTCATGGCGCTGCTTCGTTCTTTCAGCAGCCGCAGCAGCAGCAGCAGCAGCAGCAGCAGCAACAGCAGCAGCAGCAAGTTGGCTGACATGTGGAAGTGCGTCTCCTTCGCGCTGCAGCAGGAGACACGCAAAGCAGCAGCAGCATGCATTGGAAGCAGCAGCATCTTATCGCTGTCTTCCTCTGCTGCTGTTGCTGCACCTGCTGCTGCTGCAGCATCAGAAGCAGTAGCAACAGCAGCAACAGCAGCAGCAACAACACCGGACGCACACTATGCAGAAGCACGAACAACTGCAAACACAGCAGCAGCAACTGCAGCACCAACGCCTGCTGCTCCTGCTTCTGCATCTGCTGCTGTTGCTGCATCTACGGCTGCTGCCGCTGCTGCACCTGCTTCTGCTGCTGCAGCATCAGCAGCAGCAGCGGATGAAGAGGACGTTTACGCCCGGCGTGTTTCGCTGCTGAAGGGTTTGCTGCTGCAGCACGTCTGTCTGGAGGGAGATGCTGCAGCAGCAGCAGCAGCATCAGGTTTGCTGCTGCCGCTGCTGCCACGCTGGTGGCTGTCTCCTTTTGGGGCCCTCTGCACTCTTCCCTTATCTCGAGTATTTAAGCTGCTCCCCACAAGCAGCAGCAGCAGCAGCAGCAGCAGCAGCAGCAGCAGCAGCAGCAGCAGCAGCAGTAGGGGCCCCAGTGAGAAGGTCCTTCGCTGCAGCAAACTCAGAAGGAGACAGCGCAGCAATGCTGTGCTGCCGGCTACTGCAGGAGCAGCAGCAACGGCACCAGCAACAGCAGCAGCAGTAGCTGCTACTGCTGCTGCTGCTGCAGCACCAACTGCAGCAGCAACAGAAAGCAATGGGGCAGTGGCCCGCCAGCTGCTGCTGTCTGAGGCAGCAGCAGCAGCAGCAGCGTCGTCAATACGCAATGACGAGCTGCTGCGGCTGCTGCAGGTACTGCGGCAGCAGCAACGATCCAGCCCTCCACAGCAACAGCAGCAGCAACAGCAGCAGCAGCAGCAGCAGCACGAGGAGGAAGAGGAGAAGTTGCAGCAGCGCATGATAGCAGCAGACGAAGGCGTTGAGTCAGAAGGCTGCAGCACAGCAGCAGCACCAGCAGCAGCACCACCACCAGCAGCAAGGGGAGCAGCAGCAGCAGCAACAGCAGCAGCAGCAGCAGCAGGAAGCAGGGGCTCGTTTAGTGTGAGCTGCATCCGCAGCAGCATTTTGAATTCCTTAACTTGGCGATCTCCTCTGTTTACTGCTGAAGATGTTCATAAGATTGCTTTTGCTGCTGCTGCTGCTGCTGCTCCTGATCTCTCTGTCTGTGCGGCGCAGCACTTAGCTTCCAGGGCCCTTTACTTTTCTCTGCCCCGTGCTGCTGCATTGGCGCAGCAAGTTGCTGCTGCTACTGCGGCAGATGCTGCTGCAGCTGCTGCAGCTGCTGCTGCTGCTGCTGCTGCACCAACAACCGACGCACCAAACACTCCAGAAACAGCAGCAGCAGCAACAGCAGCAGCAGCAACAGCAGCAGAAGCAGCAGCACGAGCTGCTGACCGTGCTGCATGGGTCTTCGCGGCAACAACAGAGACACTGGGGGAGGAAGCTGCTGCTGCTGCTGTTGCA